GAAGCGCAAGGTCTGGCCCTTTTTCTTTACCAGCACTATAGGAGAGGCCCATGGGCTGGCCGACGGTTGAATTACGTCGTCCCTGAGCATTTTTTCAACTTGTCCTCTGATGACTTCTCTCTAGCTCTTTCGTGAGACTCGGTACGGGTGCTGGCAAATAGGTCTAACAGATTGATCGGATTATGATGCGGTGTTGGTGATGGATGTTCTTTGCACTTTCGATGACGTGGAAAAACACGAGGCGTACTCCCGTATAAGGCTCTCATTTTTTTTTTCTGGTTCGGTGATAGGGCGCTTCGATGTGGATAGATGTGAGTATGGAATCTATACCGTCAGGGGTAGTGGTGCAGTCTCGGAAGATTTAATCCATAATTGGAACGTAATCGTGCAAGTGACCAACAACAGTTCCCTTCGCAAGATGCTGCACCTCATTTCGGAAATTTGTCAGGAAGACACTCGTACACCCATCACGCAGTCGTACAATACCTCTTGCTGCACAGATCCCTTTCTCGAGTAATAGCCCAGTATTGCTTTCTGCCATTCCTTCATAGTCGTTGTACACATTGCTTTTTACGGTGACAACTAAGATGGATCTTGCAGGTACTGTTACATCATCACCTGCAATCTGGAGCGCATTCAATCGTTTTTCACTTTCGAATGTCGCGATGGCGTGTTTCGTCGAGAGCGAGACGCACGTTTCCTGTAAGTTTATCACTGCGCCATTGGCCTGCAAAAAGTCCATTCCGATAAGTGCATATCTTGAACACTCCGACAGGACAATGAAGCTGACGACGTAGGTGAAGCCGCATATCCCGACTCTAGAGATACACATGCCTGCCGGATCGATAAGGTGTACCCCGGCGGTTCGCACTTGTGGTCCTATCCAAGGGGTCAGCACTATTTTCAGCGTTCTGGCAAGTTCCCTGCTCATGACGGAATAGTCTGCGCCTGTGTCTACCAAAGCATTCATTTCGTAGCCGTCTATAATTACCAACAAATCAGAAGCGAAGTTACCGTTTCCGCACGTAGTCTCGTGTCCATCATCACATTTTGAAATCGGCACTGGAGGTTATTTTCTTACGTCGACAGCGGCCTTACCTCCCCAGGTTGCCGATTCTATCTTTCCCGAAGCGGGCTTTGGGTAAGTCGCCTCGGAGAGTTTGAAGATGGGCGCGGACTTGGTGACCGATACCTCAGTGGCGCTGTCGACCAAGACTGATGCTGCTGTGAGAAGCGAGCACCTTGACACATTGACAAGTACCCCTCGATTTCAAAACGTCGCTCCCCATTCCGTGGACAGGCAGCGTTTACGGGAAAACCCCGAAGTCCAGCTCGGCGATATTCACACATCCGGTAAAGATGGCCAGCTTCGCCGCAGTGATAACAAAGCGAAATTCGATCAGGAGTGCGCCGTATATAAGCTTTTCGGATCCTCGTCTCGGCTGGGGACGGCGTGAATCGAGGTTTCGGCAGATGCGTGCTTGCTGCGGCGAAATAAGGTCTAGGGGCGGCGAAAGGAGGTCCAGGGGCGACGAAAGGAGGTACAGGGGCGCCTCTCAGCACCTCGGCGTACGAGACTGCATCAGAACCAACGCTTGAACAGGCTGGCTTTGTGGCTGCTGCTCACGGACTGCCTGTCTCACCTCCTTCCGAAGAACTTCCGCTAATGACGAGACCGTTGAGGGGTAGCCGTTTAGCTTCTGGAGCTCTTCTCGAACCACCGATCGAATGAGCTCTCTTAATACGTCGATGCCATTCCCGAAGACTGCTGGCACCGCGTCTACGGATGCAACGTTAACATCTCGATTGTAGTGCCTCGCTCTCTGTTGCAGATTCTTTTCAACCGCTGTCTCCTCAGTGCGAAATTCAGCGACGTTCCGCGGGGGGCATTGGAGCAAACCAGCGAAAATCTCCTGCTTCACCCCACGCATCAAGGGCCGAAGTTTCTTGTCCTCGCTCATATTTTGATCAGACCGGCGAAATAACCGCCACATGTCTTCCACATACATTGCGACGCTTTCATTGTTGCGCTGGTTTCTTGCTTGCAAGGCAGCTTCAGCTCTTTCTTTGCGGTCTGTACTCGGGTATGTGGCCAGCAGCTCCGGGCCCGTCGGAAATCATCCCACGACCGAATGGCACCTTCATGGTTTTCGAACCACGTTCGTGCGCTGTCCTGCAACGCGAAATAAACACGGCGGAGCTTCTGTTCTTCGGTACATCCGTTGCAGTTGGCTACGCGGTCAAAACCCTCCAGCCAATCCTCGGCGTCTTCATGAGGATCGCCATGAAAAGGGTCGGGCGTCCGTGGCTCATCGACAACGACGTGCGTGGCAGCGACTGGAGACGAAACGACGTGTGCGGCAGTGGTTGGAGACGACATTTCGGTACTCTCTCCGTAGACAGCTGGAGACACTCTAGGCTCTGGTGGCAGGGGAAATTCCGGCGGCTCACCACGCAGACGACGGCTGGAGCGCTGATGTACTGGCGTGAGCTCAGTTGGTTCGACTGCTCGTGGTTCCGGGTTGCTTCCTCGAAGTCCAACTGGGTTTGGGATCATTACCATAGTTTAACAGGAGGGCTGTAAAGAATAGTATGGAGGAGAAGTAGAGATTGAAAAAGTTGAGAGAGGGGGGAGAAAAGAGAAAAAATAATAAAATAATTAACAAAGAGAGAGCTAGCAATTAAAAAGAAACAGATGCAAAGAAAAAATGGAGCAAGCAAATATTCAGTTTGGAGGTGAAAGAGTAAAAGCTATATAGCCAAGCTCACCAACTCTGCAGTGACTCATTATGCGCCTTATGCGTGAAAGAGGCGCTAACTTTTTTTCAATGTCCAGTAATGTAATCTAAGCCATGTGAAAGTTTGAGATTGTGTGCAGATGTGTTGCACAGATATATATCCTCTAAGTGTGCGAGGGCAGTACGTTGTGAATTCTCAGGGGTACTCAAACATGCCTCAAACAATTGATTGAGGCTCCTCCAAGTGAGAAGTGTGTCGTGTCATTTGATTTCATGGATGCTTAATGCAGATAATTCATTGAAATTGCTGAGTGAGTAGTAAGTGCCAGGGAGCTTTCATGATCAGGTGACTGCCAAGTGCAGCAAGAGCAGCAGGAACTTTGAAGCGCAAGACGTGCATATATACAACGATCACCAGACAACGAGCATGGTACAGAAATAGCTGAATGTGCTAGGCCTAGCTTCTATGAGGAAGACAAAGTTTTATGAATCCGATCAGTAGCAGTGAGTGACAACCATATGTAGAGTTGCAGCTGGAATGTGTATATAATGTTTCAAGCAAAATATATTCTATAAGTTGTTCTAAACAATAACATGCAGGTTTTATGTCGTGTTTCCTAATGAGGTGCACGCACATTTTCTGGGTTAGGCACAGTGTTCATTTTATTTGCCGCACTTAGGGTTTCGCACAAATAACCATATATGATACGCAGGTGTGTCCTGAGGATAAAAGTGTGTTGAGCGAAAGAGAAGATTTAAAGGGGCCTGTGACACTTTTTAGCATAGTCAGAAAATGCTGTCGATCGGTATACTCGAGAGTCTTGAGAACACACGAGCATTATAGTACAGCATGCGGCCTTAAAATTACAATTCAGATACATACAAATCGACTCTCTTTTCTTTCTACAAATGACGCCATATACCCCATTTCACAACCACTGGCTAATCTGCATCGTGAGCTGCATATAGATAACTCAGCCACTGACTTAGCTTCCGACTTTGTCGTCAAGACGAGAAGACAAGCAATTACAATGTGCTACAAATATCCGAAACTCTGCCTAGTCTGTTGTACACGCTGCCTGTTGGTTCTGCATATGAGTCTGCTTATTTCCCTGCCCCTTTCTCTGTATCTCTCTTGGTGTTTATCTTCCCCCCCCTCTCTCTCTTCAGTGCATATCTTTTCTTTCTGTCTATCTTAACTTCTGACTTTTCTGTTTCCTTTTTTCCTTGTATAGGAATCAATCTGGATTCATATGGCTCGATCGTGAGCTTTCATGTTCACATTTTTTTATTAGCGTGCACAAGAGAAGAATAGGAGCTCTTGCACTTTCCTTATGATGATTTTTGTTGTACACGAAATGCCGACCTATTCAACGTTCGTGCACCAATACAAGCGTTGCTTTAAATGGTCCCTAAACCACCCAGAGGTCGAAATTCAGTTGCGGTGGGGAAGTTGTGCATGAGTGTATCACAAACACGGGAGCCGTGAGAATTTTCTGAAACGGTGCCGTAATGGCAGAGTTAGACGCATTTGATAGAAACGCGGCGATGTCACTCCTTCCCCTTTCCTTCGCTACCCTCCGTTGGTATTCTCTTGCCGAGTGTCTCTCTCAATCTCGCGCGGCATACGCCATTGCCGACGCACTGCCGGTAGCCACGACTTCGTCCTTCCGTCGACTCCGTCAACTAGCTGCATGCTTGTTGGCTAGCCACTGCTGCCATGCTGGCCCACGGTGCTAATATGAATCGTGCCGGTATGGACCCTGTGTTACGGGCAGCAGTCTGAAGTGCGCGCACGCACGTCGGTAACACGACGAACAACAGCAAGCAGCGCATACAGCTGCTTGCAAACCAAACGGAAGTCGTAGGCTCTTATAATTGTTCGACCAATGACAGCATCAATGTTCTGCGCATCAAATGATCAAGTTATCAGCGTCACGCGGAGGCCCAAAAGGCCGCAGGAGAGGAGGAGGAATTGTTTCTAGGAATTTGTGGCGCGCCAGTGGCTCGTAGCGCTGCCACGTGCAGAATCGTTAATCGCGAGAGTATCCTGCGCACGATGCGCGTGTTTATTACTCGAATTGTTAAAAAATATCGGAGGTACGTAGTTTAGGGTTCCTTCAAAGATGCGTAAATGAAGCAGCATGAACAAAAGAATACTATGTGTAAGACATATGCAGCATGTGCTGCAATGCTCCAGTATTTTCAAGGCTCCAGTGTTGAAGGCAAGTTCGTCTGTCTAAACACTGGCTCAAGCGCACACCTGTTTACGAATTTTTTTATTTGCAAGGTTCCATTTTCTTCCTACTGTGTAGGCCTGTAATTTAAAATAGCGTTTAAAACATGTGGAAACACATTACAGCAGTGCCACCTCACCAAGTTCTGCCAGATTTGTGCTGGAAACTGCGGGAACATCAAGATCAACTAGAGAAACACAAAGTGTGGCCTGTGCAACCCCTTGCAAACAGGCAGACAATCTTAGAATGCGAAGCTTTGCCCTGGCCCCTCAGAAAGTTGAAGAGGAAGAGCACACCTGGTAAGACAGCAGCAACTTTCTCGGAACGCGAATCTCGGAACGCATGGCAGGTGGTGCGGCTAGCTCTGCAGCTGCGTACCGCCGTAGCAGATGACACAGCTCAACACTACGCCCCTCCTTAGGTGTGCGTGCATGCGCAGGCTCCTACTGGCGCGTGACTACAGTCTAAATCGTAATGTCACACGCTCTGACATTTCTCCGTAAGCGTGAAACAGGCTACATTGTTGTGTGTGGAGCTGTTTTAATAATGACCAGCAGTGCCTCCACAACATTGTTGCTTATGCTCAATGACAAAGATTATATTTCTACCGTCCCCAATGAAGAAGAGGTAAACATGCTTTTTCAGCTATGTGTTTTTTTCGTCCTCTAGATCAGGGGCATGGACAATGCGCCAAATCTCGTGCTGTGCAAAGTTCATCTTCGGGAATTCCGCCGCACAGGTCGTGCACGAAGTCCACGTCAGCGCCACATGCGGGAAGTAGTTCTGCACGCACAATCGGATGTCGTAGCTGTCCGTGCTCAGGCGTTTGAGCCTCGGCATCCACCCGATCAGCCTGCGAACTTCCTCGGGTACTATGTGCAGCGCCGGCACCGACAAGTCCGTGAGGATGGTGAGCTGCTCCATGGCCGGATGGATCGGCCGCTGGTATGCGGGGGTCCTCGGCCCTCCGATGTATGCCGATACGATCCACTCGCCGTCAAGGTAGAGGTCGGTGAGGCCCTTCACAATGTTGAGGAGGGTGAAGAACGCTTCTTCCATGATGGAGTCACTCAGGGCAAGAGATTTCAGTTTCGCAAACGAGCCGGGTCGGATCGTCTCGTCGGCGATTTTGCAGCCCAACAGAGAGAGGCATTCGATGTTTGGGCAGTGATTGTTGATGGTCGACAGACGCACACCTTCGAAGTATTTGATCGTCAGGTGCGTCAGTGACAGTATTCGCAGTACATTGCTGAGGTGAGGGTCGAAGGGGCACCATCCATTTTGGGGGCCGTACATTATGGAAAGGCGCTTGAGCTGGGAGAACCTCGGTATGCAGGCGAGAACCTTCTGGGATGAAGTCGTCAGCTGCACCAGGTGTTAAACAAAAGATTGCATAGTTGAATATCTCCCAAGTACACATCGGGCTTATGAGTGGTGACAAAGAGCGAGGCTTTGGATTGATCTGCAGCCCTCGATCGTTAACTGACAACTGCCCTGTAGGATCCAATCCTGGTCGTGATGGTTGCATTCTGACAAAGAAAAAATGCTATATGAATGAACACTTAAATTTGAGAGCACGTTGAAGGACCCCTGGCATTAAAAATTTTTATTAGGACTTTTTTAATGTAATATGTAGCTTGTTGTCTGGTGATCCTTAAAGTTGAATCGTAAATCTACTTGTGTATAGTATAATTATAGCTAGCATTATTGAAGAAAGACTAAAGGAAAACAGTTTGTGTCAGCATAGAAGTCAATGTTTAAGAAAGTCTAATATGTCCATATTATTAAAAGCAGTACTCTATTAACCGAATTATTCAGGTAAATACCATTTTGGAGCAGGTAAATTATTCAGGTAAATATTACTTTGGAGCACTTCAAGCAGTGAAATTTTAGTTTGGAGCAGGTAATCTGGCAATTAGGAACACCTTGAAGCAGGATAATTTTAGCTTTGGAGTATTTTGTAACAGGTAATCTTGCTATTACAAGCATTTTACAGCAGTAAAATTTTAGTTTTACAGCAAGTAATCTTATTATTAGGAGCGCTTTGGCATAGGTATATATTCATAATGGAGCACTTCTGAGAAGAAAGTACCTCAAACACTTCAACATTTTCGTGACCGCGAGAATTTTAGCTGTTCTTGGGTAGTCCAGCAAACCTTATTTTTTTTGATGGCACGCAAAGTTACTAATGTTAATGTTTATGGTGTCAAATTGTACAGCTAGGAGTTATCTTTCAAACACGGTCAGTTTGAAACCACAAATTTATTAACAATAGTACGAAAAACATCAAACGAAAAACATTGTAAACATGAACAAAGAAATTTCATAGAACCATCAACACTACTCTGAACAGGCTAAGCATAAAAAAAAATCAAAATATACATTTTAAGCACAAGGAGCACACACAATTATCCTGTTAATATAAGCGCTGTAAATACAAAAGTTTTTGACTACATAAAATAACACTACACGTAGTGTCTTTCATGCCACCGTGCTAAGCAGTTTGGCGATGCGGTAAATTACAGGTTAGCTACGCATATTTCACAGAATACACTTGCTTTCTGTTCAACTTTTTTTGTTCATAGCATATTTTACTGTTCCTCTTTTTTTGCTGGCGTCTTAGCCCTGAGGAGCGTTTCGTGTAGGAGCATCAAGATGGACTGTGGGACCTCCAACAACTGTCTCTCTCGCTCTACGTCGGGTTCTGAAAACTATGCGTCCGAGCATATTTATTTCTACTTTTCCATAGCTCTCCAATAACTTGGACAGTAAAAAACAAAAAGTCGACAACGCTCACGGAGCGCCGCGTGGCACTACGTAACGCAGTTCCAAGGTTCACTCCCAGCTGCCTACACGTACGAAACTGCACTCTCTGCGCTGCCGCCGGCAAGTAGTTTCGCCCGAAGAAAGTGAACGCCTTGGAAACAAGAGCCCTAACCTTCAGAACACATCGAATCAGCTTACACTGACGCGCACCGGCAATAACGCGACCCGAGCACAAAGCTAAACTCACCAGTGGGCGACCGCTAATGTTCCAAGGCAGTTTGACGAACTCTCGTCGCCCGCGCTGAAATCAGAAGTGTCATTGTCGTCCTCCGAGCCTGTGCTGTTGTCATCATTTGAATATTTCAGCCCTAATTCACGAGAATACCCCGAAATTCACCGTTTTCATCAAGCGGTCACAGGCGCATGGAAAGACTCTAAAATCACCACACGGTGAAAAAAGAGAAACACAAAAACGAAATTGATAAAATGCTTTATCTTTTACACGGTGGATAGTGCAAGGGGTCCAAAGCGTTCGAAACAGGGAAAATATTGAAATTTTAAACATTAAAAACATACTATCGATGAAGATTGGCGCGTTCACTAAAGCGTTAATATTAAATGGATACTGACCTAGACCAAAGGATCTTTTTAGATTGAAAAAGGCTTCAAAACTTACACGTCGTCCTTTTTACCATCTCAAGTTTATTAATAGTGGAGAAAATATCGGTAATACATCTATAATTACATATTACATTTTTTTTTTCTGTAGCGATATTCGCTCAAAATAATTTCCTGAGACTTAGTAAGTTAAGTCTAGAGCAATCTCAGAAGTCAGTTTACATTGTTTTTAGTACCCAAGAGCTATGTAGGACCTAGTCAAAAAACTTCAAAATTTATAATGTCACTGGAATCAATCCATTAATGCAACTATGTGAAGCCACTCGAATTTTCTTTTTGCACGTTTTCTTGCTTACCGAGAGAGTTCTCGTGGCAAGCATGGTGATTGTGGAATTATGAAAGCGTAATTTACTAATGTCGAATCTCATTAATTGGAACATGCTTAATTCGAACTTTTGGTTAATTAGAACTGACGCTGTGGTACCGTCAAACCTGTGATTGGCCCTGTATTTCGAAAATGGCCTGTAATCCGAATGCTCAAGCACTTTCGATGGTTAATTCGAACATACCACGCTCCGAAAATGTTCTCAGCGCCATGCCCAATCTAACGGAGGCACCTCCGACATCTAAACGCTGCGTGCGAAAAAGGAAAAGAAGAAAAGGAAAGGCTGGAGAGGAATGTTGGTGCGGGCAGTTTCGTGATCTTCGCTAGCTGTGTGCTTATCAGCTGTGATGTCTCTACACTCGCATCGTTAGTGAACCTTGCTGTGGCACATAGATAATTAAAACGAGTGGGGACGTGCCCTCCGCAGATAGAAAAAAAAAACCATACGGCACGCGGAAGTGGGCGAAAGGGGGGAGGAAGCGAGTTGAGGTGGCCGAGATGGGGCAAGCGTATTAATAACAAACGGAAGAGATTCAACGGGCAAGGAGGCGTCATGTGTCAGTTAGCAGGACTGCAGCGGATGAATGTAGAAGGTGCGCTTATTGTGCGTAAAGAAAGAATGCACATTTTGACGACTGAAGTTGGGGGTGCATTCCTCGTGCGGGTAAATACAATATAGAAGACGATCTTCCTCAGCTGCGGGGCATTTTGGAATAAGTTTGATGTTAAAATCCTCAGGTACAGCAAGTTCACTAGTACTCAAACTACTAAAAAAAATACGCTTCAAAAGGAGAGAATGTTTGGGTGTGCTGCTTGTTCATCGTTTTTCATAACGGTGAAAACGGTAAAAATTGAAATGACGTGGGTCCTAGGGCATAACGTACAAAAAAATACATGACATGAGTGCTAACGACAAAAAGTTTAATAGAAAAACATGGCTGGTGTTAATAACAATAAGAATAATATGTGGATTTATACTTCCCAAAATCACGATATGACGACGAGAGATGTCATAGTGGAGGGTTCCGGAAATTTTTACTGCCTGGTGTTTTTCAACGTTCACTGCCATAGCACAGTACACATAATAAAAACGGGAAAGAACAACGGGCAAGGAGGCGCCACGCGTTCGAACGTGGGACTGCAGCAGATGGATGCAGAGGGTGTGTTTGGTACAGGATAGAAAAAAAATCCTAATTTTGATGACTGAAATCGGGGGTGCACTTATTATGCGAGTGCGTTTATTATGCGAGTAGACGCAGTAGACTAAAGATAGTATCAATAGCTCTGCATCACTAGGAGACGTACAAATTAAGATTCTAAAACTACCTAAGCTTTCTTACAACAAAGTGCTCGGCGCTTTGTAATGGTTTATCAGACAATTGGCTGCAGTCATGAGTAAATAACATGTTTATATGTAACTGATGCTCTGAGTACAGGTTGTGCAACTGAGGCACGATTTACCTGCAACCGCTCCAAGTTCGGATTCCATTCGATCGCCTTCTTCATGCATGGCAGGGTGGTGCTGTGCATCATGATGACATTTCGGCATGGTCGCCGTAGGTACGAGCCCAGTGTCAGCTCCCGACGGTCGCCGAACAGGGGTGGGAAATGCGGCGACCGCCTTTTAAAATCCTCCGCAACCCTCAGCATCTCATCCAGGGGTGCATGGACTTCAGACAGCTGTGAGTATGAAGAGTATGATGCAATAAATAATTATGAAAAGGCTTTGGTATACACACGAATAGAGACAGCATCAGCATGACCAAGCCAACACGAATGATGCCCCATCTTCTCCAAATTACGCATCAGCGGAGGGGACAAAGGAAACCCTGCTTAGACCAATTTTATAGCAGAAATTAATTTACGCAGCTCATGAACTAACTGTGTGTACTCATTTGCCATCACCAAGTCAGCTCTATTCATAAACATCAATTTGATGCCCAGGCTCTACTGGCACTGTGTGCACCTGAACAATACTATAACTGTTCTGGGTGATATCATACCTGTACTGCTGCTGATTGTTGGAAGACACTCCCATAAAAGTTGTGAACTTTATTTCAAGCATCAATCGCTGAGGAACAGCCGCCCTTCCCATCAGGTATACACTCAAACCTTATGATAACGAAGTTGCATCTTACACAAAAATGAGTTTGCTACATCGGGAAATTCGTTATTAGGCTTTATTTCTAACACTACTTCTAGTACAAGACAATTTAAACCAAATAATCATTATAATAATAACTTAGAAGACTGTATAGTACTTAGAAGGCTGTTGGTACGACATGATTATGAGCGGAAATCAGCGCGACCGATTGGAGGGCATAGAAAGGAGTACGCAGAGCGCTCTGCGTCCTGTTTTCAGTCCCCTCCAGTCAGTTGCCCTGATTTGCACTCATAATCTATAATAATTACAACTTATGAACAAATGTAAGCTCCACCAACCGAACTGTGGCACACCTGCGCTTCACCTGTGAAAAACAGTTGCACCAGTTGATTTCCGTTCCAACCACAAATGCTTTCTCTCAGCTAATGTAAATGCTACATATCTTAAGAAATTAAACATTCATCACTACTACCTAGAAATCAACCATGAAATTCCTAAAACGAGCAACACAAATGTGTGTCTGTGAGGGCAAGTCCACTATCTGAAACACCTGAGATGCACCTGATGTCATGAAAATGAGTAAGCGTTAAGGACCGTTCCACGCGATTTCCGCACAGCTGCAACCGCAGCGTCGCCAATTCTCTTATTTGTCCCCGGTTGCGTGCGGTAGGGGTCCCGGCACGTGCGTTGTGGCTGTGCGGGAAGCGCGTGGAACGGCCCTAAGGGACGTAGCATTTATGCAAGTTCTCCGCCGGCAGAACAGCAAAGGCTATGGGTAGAGCTGACACTTTTTCATAGATTGAAATGAACTATGCAGTAGACTCTCAGTAAACAGAAATCTGTTAAATGAAACTGCTGCTTAAATGGAACAACTTCGTCTGATATGATTGGTTTCCCACTTGATTGCTGCAACCGACTTCACCTCTCAGTAAATGAAACCTCTGTTAAATGGAACACATTTTCCCAGTCCCTTTAGGTTCCGTTTAATTAGTCTACTGTAGTTTGATTTGTTCTGCAGTCATGGTGATGGCACTGCGCGTTACTCAGTGGATGAAGATTCAATGTCACTATGTCATTGTCAGTAATGCTTTAAGCAAATCCTTCCAGATATGCGTGCTTGTGTACAACTCATTCACTCCGAGTGCGGCTCCTTAATAAGAGCTTTAAATTTTTGTTTTCACGCCACACAGCCGTTTCATACTTCGCTGGCACAGATGCCAAGAAGCGATCAACATGCCTCGCCTATTTCTTAGCAATGACCAAGCTTGGTGACGGCTGTTTTAGTAGAGTAAAACTTCGTTAATTTCGAGTCCATGGGACCATGAGAAATCTTTGAATGAAGCGGGTTTTCGTATTAACAGAACATAGAAAAAGTGGCATGCAAGGAACTTGAAATTATTCGAAGTAATCAGGGCTGGTTGTTAACTGTGCTGGCTAGTTCGCGGCTCCAAGGGATATGTTTTCCAGCAATACCTGGTCCAAATTTTGCTTCAAACACAGGGAAGCAGTGGGCCTCACTGCTGCCACCGAAAAGAGACGCTGACGTGATCAGCTAAAATGTGTGTCTGCAGAAAACAAGATATCTTTACTGCAAAAAGGTAGTGAAACGCAGGCAGAATGTCACCAATGCCTGCACGTCATGATGCAATTTTCAGCATATTCTTTATGGTAAAATAAATGAATATATAATGTCCAGTGTGACAAAATTTGCGATGTATTTTGGCTGGAAAACATAACCATTGAAACTTTCGAACCGTATGTTCGAAGTGAACGTTGCAGGCAAGAACTACATCAGCAGTGCAAAGGTGTAAATTGCTGGAGCAACCAACAATCGGAGGTTCGCATACATCACGACTTACGTCAGAATGTCTTTTATTAATTTCGTTATATTCCCAGAGAGAATGGGTAAATTGGTTCCCCTTTAAAAAGTTGTCAGTTTTAAAGCACCCACATGGCTCATTATCGATACCGGGGCTTGGGTGGACCAGCCCATGTTTCGTAGAAGGCGTCAATGTGAAAGGTTGCTCTTATGCCAGGACAGTTTGTGAGCAGCATAAGCAGCGTGACGGGGCAGAAAAAGAACTCCTCGGCGCCGATGGCTGGTGTGGAGCCCCAGACCTGGACGAGGTGCGATGTGAGAGGCATGTGCGGAACTTGAGTCGTACTCTCCGTCTGCAGCACCAGGTCGTGGTACAGGATGAGCCGGGTGACCTTGGAGAACCAGTAGACGAGGTCTACCAACCGGTCCCTGCGTGGCCCTAGTTTTTTTAAAAGGCGTAGCACTGGACTGGATGCACAGCTGGGCCCTGGGGGCCAAGACTTGCTGCACTCTCTCGGTGCATGTAAAAGATTGAGACGCTCTTACTGCATGGTTGAACTCAATTCAATGACATTTGTAGTCCTTAAAGGCATACTAGCACCATTTAGAGACATCAAAAAAGCGTCATTTTTCTATGTTTTGCTATGCATTATCCACACTCTCCGCACACTGAAGTCCGACAAAACGTGCAAAATATTTTACACTGATTTTAAGGTTTTCATCGCTGAGCATCTGCAGAGCAGCTTCACTGCGATGGAAATCATCCCAATGTCCACATAATGAAATTTATTGTCTCATGACCTATTATTATTTTACACAATTAGCAAAATAATGTCAATGTCAAGAAACAAGTAAATATGACACTCAAGTCATCAAAGTTAATTGCAGTAACTGAATAATTAGCACCTGAAGAGCTTCACAATGACAAAAGGCTTCTCTTCGTCAGCGATACATGAACAATGCACGACCTTCGCTGGTCATTTTCAAAACAGATGCTGCGAAAAATTTGAAATGGCTGCCCAACTAAAAGAAATTGCCAAGCACGTGCCGTTATCCGTTAAGCAATACATGAACTTGCCTGAAAGCAAGTGAGCCTTGTTAAAATGTACAAGGGGGATATTATCTCAAGCGGATAAGCCAGACTAATACGAAAAGGATACAGGTTAAAAGGTCACTAAAGCGAAACAAAGGATCAGTTTAAATGGATAAACCACACTCTAAAATCTCTAATGACATTATTTACCCATCATAGGCTTATCTAATAGTGAAGAAAATCCACGTGAATGGTTGCTTATTAAATTTGCCACTAAAATTTTCATGTATGAGTGACTCCTGGATTTAAAAATATATGTTTTATACTTTTGAGACAGTGACTTAAGGAGTTTTCATAAAATTAGATATGTTATGCCTCTAGCCCCCTGAGCAGATAATGTAGTATGGGGGAAGGGGTCAAAAGTTCCCAGCCCACAATCCCATGTATTTCTATGAAAGCGTGGCTTCGGAACTTTTGAACAGGACTGCACATTTTGACAGATTAGAAACTGAACTACGTAGGCCCTAGGAGGGGCCACCAAATCTATGACGGCAAGGTGATCGATGCGGGAATTTTAGGGTGGTGCTATCACTGGCATTTTCATTTTTAGCATTTTCTCGCTTACCAAACGTCTTCTTGCTGCAAGCATTGTATTTTGATATAGCGAAAGAATAACTTGCTAATACTTTAAAACAGTTCTTTTTAGTTTCCCTTGAAAAGAGAAAGTTGAACTTTACGAACAATTGAAAGTTTTAACATATCTAGTATGCACAACGTCGATAGTAAATCACAGATACTGAGTGCTGATAGCGATACCTTACGGTGCTTCAAAGAACCACGATGTCCTACAGACATATTGTAACGAATGTAGCAGCCTCACAACAACGATGTTCTATTTACACGGTTTATTAAGGGCAAACTTGTGCCCAAAGTGAACGACGCACAGCAATCAAGAAGATCCAAGGGCGGTAGTCCTCGTGAGCCTCTGCTTCGAGCACCCTTGTTCTCTTCAACACGCGCGTTGGCTGTTCGGCGGAGTGCCGGGCGCATGCCGTGCATTGTGGCTGGCTACGTCGCTCGTAGTCGTGCCGTTAGCGTTTCTCTGGTTCCCAACGTCCGCGTTGCGCGGAGCAATGGTAATTTCCTGTGGTATTATCCCCCCTCTCAAGAGGCGTCGCCCCGATGCTTTCAATGATAATGTATGCAGCGTTTCCGTCTCGGAAGGTTTGTAAGAGGAAAATGGTTGTACAGCAAGCAAGTGGGGTGGCTAGTCTTCGTACTGGTCGTAGTACGGTTTCATGCGCACAATGTGTACACGCTCGGTGGGATTGCGTCGTTTAGAATGCCCATGTCCTGTAGGCTTGACTTCATAAATGAGGTCGCTGAGTCGCTGTACTACCTCGTAAGGACCGAAATATCGACAAATGAGTTTTTCAGACAGGCCTCATCGTCGTACTGGGGTCCATATCCACACTTTGTCACCAACTTCATACCGTGTTTCAAGTATTCCTCGGTTGTAGCGGTCGGCATCGATTCGTTGTTGGTGACATATTCGGTACCTTGCTAAATTAGCGGGCCTCCTCCGCTCTCTCTATATAGTCATCGAGATCAGAAGGATAGTCATCTTGATCTATAGGTAATATAGCGTCCAGTGTTGTGGTAACTACACGACCGTAAACTAGTTGAAGCGGGGTAATCTTGTTAGTCTCTTGTACGGTGGTGTTATAGGCGAAGGTGACGTATGGTAAAATTTCGTCCCACTTTTTGTGTTCGACGTCCACATACATAGATATCATGTCAGCTAGAGTTCTGTTAAGGCGTTCAGTCAGGTCGTTGCTTTGAGGGTGATATGCGGTAGTTTTCCTGTGAACAGTGTGGGTCATGTTCAGCAGGCATTCCATGAGTTCCGCCGTGAAAGCCGGTCCGCGATGGGTGATTACAACATTTGGAGCGCCATGCCGTAGCACTATGCTCTGTACGAAGAATTTGGCGACCTCAGCTGCCGTTCCTCGATGCAAAGAGTCTGTTTCCGCATATCTCGTTAAATAATCAGTCGCTACAACGATCCACTTCTTGCCAAGTAAAGATGTCGGGAATGGTCCAAGGAGGTCCATTCCAACTTGTTGGAAGGGTGCTTTCGAAGGGTCTATCGGGTGCAGAAAGCCTGCTGGCTTAGCACGAGGCGCTTTCCGTCTTTGGCACTCGCGGCATGTTCTGACATAGCGCTGTACTGAAGACAATAGCTTGGGCCAATAATAGTGCTGACTGATTCGTGCAAGCGTTCGAGTGACCCCCAGATGTCCAGACGTAGGCTCATCGTGGCACGCTTGTAATATTTCTTGCCGCATAGTTGCGGCAACGACAAGCAGAAACTTTTCACGGTTCGGCTTAAAGTTTCTCTTGTAGAGGACATTTTCTCGGAGGCAGAAGGATGCGAGGCTTCGAGAAAATATACGAGGTACTTGTACGTCAGCTCCTTTCAGGTGTTTGATGAGCGGGAGCAATTCTTCGTCCGCATGTTGAATTTCAGCTATCTGAGAAGTCTCAACAACAGCCACGAATGGAAATTCCACTTCATCTGATAGTGCTGTGTCTGCAGGTGCCCGTGACAAACAGTCGGCGTCGGTATGCTTCTTACCAGATCGATATACCACAGTTATATCAAATTCTTGCAGTCTGAAGCTCCACCTTCCTAGTCGTCCGGACGGGTCCTTGAGGTTGGCGAGCCAGCAAAGGGCATGGTGATCGCTGACTGCCTTGAATGGTCTACCATACAAGTAAGGCCGAAACTTACTGATGGCCCAGATGACGGCAAGGCATTCTTTCTCTGTGGCCGAATAATTGGTCTCCGCCTTTGTTAGAGTCCGGCTGGCGTATGCTATCACCTTTTCTTCGCCATTCTGCCACTGTATTAGGATGCATCCTAGGCCGATGTTGCTGGCGCTAAGTGTATTTCCGTGTCAGCTGTTTCATCGAAATGAGAAAGGATTGGGGGCTCTTGCAACTGTTTTCTTAATTCGTTGAAGGCGCTTTGTTGCTCTGTTTCCCACTGGAAAGGTACATCTCTCGTAAGTTTCGTCAAGGGTTCTGCAATCTGAGAGAAATTTCTGACAAATCGCCGGTAGTAAGCACAGAGACCTAGGAATCTCCGTACTGACTTTTTGTCTGCTGGCACCGGGAACCTTGCAATGGCGGCTGCCTTTTCAGGGTCAGGGTGCACACCGTGGGCGCTGACAACGTGCCCAAGGAATCGAAGCTCTTCGAAACCAAATTGGCACTTCTCTGGCTTGATGATTAAATCTGCCGAACGGATTGCTTCTAACACTGTTCGCAGGCGGTTGATATGCTCCTCGAATGTAGCAGCGAAGATGACCACGTCGTCTAAGTACACTAAGCAACACTGCCACTTCAATCCTCCAGAAAGTACAGTGTCCATCATGCGTTGGAATGTTGCCGGCACACAACAGAGACCAAAAGGGAGAGCCTTGAATTCATAGAGTCCGTCCGTAACAAAAGCAGTCTTCTCGCGATCAGGTTCATCAACTTCGATCTGCCAGTATCCACTTTTCAGATCTAGTGATGAAAAGAACTTGGCACACCGAAGTCTGTCTAATGTGTCGTCAATAAGCGGGAGGGGATATACATCCCGTTTAGTCACAGCATTTAAATTCCGGTAGTCGACGCAAAACCTTAGCGTGTTATCCTTCTTCTTGACAAATACTACAGGAGATGCCCACGGACTGCTAGAAGGTTGAATAACATCATCTTCAAGCATCTCCTGTACTTGATTCTTGATGACTTCCCTTTCTTTTGGTGAAACGCGGTACGGGTGCTGGCGTACTGGCCTGGTTGTCTCGTCTGTTACGATCCTGCGTTTTGCAATGGTTCTGCATCGTACCTTTGAACTATTGGAGAAACAGCTGCCAAATTCCCGTACAAGGTCGTATAGCGGTTGACGTTGGATCACTGAAAGATTGGGGATTTACGGATATTACGTCGCAGACATCAAATGTTGGTTTCGTATCCGTTGACATTGTTTCAAGGCTGCATATTTCTGTGGCTTCACAAACCTTATGAAGAAAGGCTATGGCTGTCCCCTTTGCGATGTGCTGGAATTTCTTCCCAAAATTTGTCAGGAGGACGTCTGCGTACCCGTTTGGTAGCTGGATAATCCCTCGTGCCACACAAACACCTCTTTTCAGGAAAACATCCATGTTGCTGTCTGCCACACCTTCGTAGTCACCAAATGTATCATTTCTGACTAGAACCATTACAGTGCTCTGCGGCGGTACAGTCGCATCATCATCGACGATGCGCAGTGGAGTGGTGTATTGCTCGTCTGCTCGAGCTACCTTTATAGCTTGTTCTGTCGAAAATGATACGCTGGACCTCTGCA